ATTCAAATTACACACTGGAAGCTACCGTCCATCTCCATTCGGTTGAGTGTAGCAGTATTTATCTTCTGTGAATTTACACATACCTGCACACACACATACACACTCACGTGTGCAGGCTCATGGACCTCTGCTCACACCAAGGCTAGAAGTTGCACAAGAGTTCCAGTGGGAACACATTCAGAAAGGGTAGCTTTTTCTCTTCATTTAGACAGGGGACCAGGTAGTAGTGTCCCTCTTTGCACTGTGGGTGCCCTTTTTTGTTCAGAGAGAGACTGTGGCTATGCTTTGCAGTATATGCACTGCTGGAACAGAGGTACGGGGGCTCTGGCTGGTGATGGCTGACTCCAGAGTCAGGGGGAAATTCTCCTTCTTATCTCTGAAGACAATGCTTCATTCTGTAGCTTCTCTCTTGGTAGGGCTGGAAATACTTCCTGAGTAGTGCAGTAGCCTCAACCCCTGACCTGGATCTTGGAGACACTAGAACACTGTATAATGGTTCATATTCTGAGAGTTCTCTAGGGTTATCTTTTTTACCATGTGTATAATGCAGTATCTGGGTGTCTGGATGATTCCAGCATCCATGAAGCCTTTAGGCCAGAGAAGCACAAGATGAAATCTAAATCTAATGCATAGTTTGTACTTTCAGAGGAAAAATCTGGAGCAGGGACTCTGAAAACCCATTATAAGGTTTGCTAGCAGAGTCCAGGATTTGCTTCCTTCCGGGAGACAAAGGGTTGCAAATAGAGGTTAGGGCTCACAGCTAGTAACTATAGAATGAAACAGTTACATCTAGATCCTAAGGTTTCAGGACAGAGACTGGAGAACTCCCAGGTTCCTCCATCAGAAGAGGGTGGATGGGCCCCTGATGTTGCTCCTATCCACACTTGCAGATTCATCCTGGCTAAGGGTCCCTTCCCACTGGCCTCAGACAGGGTTGCCCACTTGTCTTATGGAGAAGACCTGCATTGAGGGAGGAGTATTGCAGCAAGCCACTCAGCTGAGAGCAAACTGTATTATGGAATTTTCCCACATTCCTCTAAGGCTGTTGGTCCTCTCTGTGCACCTGTCCTGATACAAAAGCTGCCCTGCCAAACTCTTCAATCTTATTGAATTTTATCTTATTTATCTTATCTTATTGAAGTGAATCTTATTTAAGTTTAGAAAGAAATTTCCCCCAGCTCTTGCATACTTGTTGGTAGCCTAGCAGAAACTGAAAACTTCTCAGCATATGCCTGATAGTGAATCCAAAACCAAGTTACTGTTAACCATTTCCTTCCTATGTTATTTTCCCAGACTCCCTAGAGCTCTTTTAGAACCCTGTGAAATCACAGTGCCATCTTGTGTTCTGTATGTGAAATCTCATTGTTATTTTCCTTGCAATGGCTTAAGAAATGCAGATAAATGCCTGCATAGTGTGCAGATTTTATGGGCAATTTCCTTAGATTTTAATGCAACTCTAACTCGTACCCTGAATTTCAATCATCATGCTTACCTCTTCATTTTCCTTATATCACATACTTCAATTGCAACTGTAAACAGAAACACCAGTGATATGGAGGAAGATTTTTTTATGTAACCAGTGAAGATGGGGATCATTCCCAGAATATCTGGCCCTGATTTCTGGAGGTCTAGAGTTTATATGAGGAAGTCAAGCAGGAAGTACAGAGGCAGAATTCCTTGTCAGTTAGGGATTCTTTTATGCCCTATGCATCACAGTGGCCAGCAGTTTCTAGGAGAGAGGAGCAGAGGGGAAATGAAACAGAAACTACTACCTGGATGACTAGAAATCAGAAGGATCCTGGCTGGTGAGGGGGTGGTATTTTCTGCTATACAGTCACTGCCTTAAGGTGATTTATTTAAAGCCATTTTCTAAATTAAGAAGGATAGATTGGGAGGAATGAGTGAAAATACTTGGTGTCAAATATTGTTGAAAAAATGAAATGTAAGAAGTATTATTTCTTTTAAATCCATTACTCTGAGATTATAAAGGTTAAGAACAAAACAAACATTCAAAACTTTGCCCAAACAATAAAGGAGCAAAGGACTGTGCAGATAATGTGATTACGTTCAAAACGGGATCAAATGTGTGAGTTAAAATTAAAATGAGGAAAACTGGAAGGTATCTTGCAAAACAACAATCATGGAAGATGCAGTGTCTAGTGGTAAAGCTTGAGTGCATAGTATTAAAAATGCACAAAGTCATTTGACACTAAATCAATGACTTGCCCAATGGGTGTTTACTGATATGAGCAACAGGGAATAGAGGAATCTGAGGACCCACTAGGACAGGGAAGTTCAGCTACCCAGCAGACTGTGGGTGGATTAGAGAACTTGTTTATTTTCTTAAGGACCAGCCTAAAGGATCCATTTCCACTCCCTGAAATCTGCTCATGTGTCTCTTTCTGCATTCTGCATGCAGAGAGCCGGCAAGGCAGATGTTAAGAAGACTTTATCAGTAAACTATAAATGCAGAAAAAAGCAAGAGTTTGTTTAGATGGGGGCACACTGTCAAGGTGGCAGCAGGGGAGTTCTGCCAAGAATAGTGACTCTTGGGAAAGAAATTTGGTGTACTGAAACACTGCAATACTTGTTAAGTGGATTTATAGGAACTGAGATTTCCCTGCAAACTACACAGAGGCACCTGAATTATGGCTGGGTCTGTGATCCTCAGTCTCACTCCTGGAGCCCTAAGTTGTTTCTTGAGACTCCCAGATACCTATGAAATATGATCATATAAACTCTGACCATGGTCTTCACTGATACAAACCACAGTTGGGCAAGTAATTTAATTACAATGTAAGCATTTGAGTTTATAAGAAATAACATGTAACAATACATATATCAAATAAAGCAGACTAAAAGAGACGTCTTTTTAAAAAATTCAAAGTTTGAATTTTTAAAATCTCATTTTTTTGATTTGAAAACCAAAGGGATATCTTTTCAAATCAAAAGGCTAGAATAATGATTAAAACAGTCTGATTTCCATAGTGGTTGCAACAGTCTACACTCCCACCAGCAGTGGAGAAGGTTCCTTTTTTTCCACAGTCCCTCAAGCATTTGTTGTTGGTTGTTTTCTTGATGGCACTCATTCTTTCTTGATTGAGATGGAATCTCAGGTTGATATTAATTTGTATCTCTCAAATGACCTGTGGTATTGAGCATTTTTCATGTTTTTTTGCAATTTGTACTTCTGTATCTGATAAATGTATATTCATTTTATATGCTTATTTTTGGATTATATCTTTACATATCAGATGTCTGACATTTTGAATTCTTCATATATTCTAGATATTAGGCCTTTGTCTGAGGAACAGCTGGCAAATTTTTTTCCCATTCAGTGGTTTGTATCTTCACTCTGTTGGTGGTTTCATTTGCTCTGCAAAAGCATTTTAATAAGACAAAATCCTGCTTCTTAAGTCTCTGTAATATTTCATTTGTGATCCAATATTTATTCATAAAGTCATTACCTATACCTATGTCTTCAAGAGTTTTGTTTTTTTTCCACAAAATTTTGTGTTTCTGTTTTAATATCTAGATTTTATATCCACTTTGCCTTTAATTTAGTGCATGTTGATGGACATGACTCTAGTTTTAGACTTTGACATTTAGAAACCTAATTTTTTCAACACTATTTATTAAAGGGGTGGCCTTTCATACAGTGAATGTACTGGGCCCCTGTGTAAAAGGTAAGGTGACTTAGTGTGTTTGGAGTTGTTTGTGCATCTGTAAGGACATTCCTTAAAAAAATAAAACTGGTTATTCACCTTCTTGGAATCTCCCCAAAAGAGTTAAAAACATCACACCACAGGGATATATGTATACCCAGACATAGCAGCACATTGTATGATGGCTAAATTTTGGAAAAAGTCCAAATGCCCATCAGCCAGTGACTAGATAAAGAAAATGTGTTTTTTATAAATACAATGGGGTAATATTCAGGCATAAAAATGATTAACGTGAGACATTTTGAGGTAAATGGCTGCACATTGAGGCCATACTTAAAAGAAATAAATCATATACACATTTACAAATATTGCATTGTATCCAAGTAGGAGAAACTGAAAATGTAAATAAGGGCCAAAATATATAATAGATGCTGTAAAATAGGAAGAAAATTTTCAAATGGAAAGGGATACTGGGAAGGGGAAAGAAAATACATAAGAATAAAAACTGAAACAAAAATTTTGTAAATATAAGGGAGGGAAGAAGAGTTGAAGGGAGAAGAATATGAAAAATAGAAGAATTAGTTTGCCCCATGCACAGGTACAAATTCCATATAATGAATGTGATCATTATCTAAATCTAAAATGTATCAATATACATACTTAATTAAAAATGCAATTTTTGGAAGACTCACAGGTTATTAAGAAGCCGGGGTGGTAGTGAAAGCATTCTTTAGACTAGGAATTAGAATGGAAACATCTGAAAGCAAAAGTAAAACGAATGAAAGGAACGAATTGGTAAACTAAGCAGAAGAAATGACCTTTTATTATTGCTATCATTATGTTCATTCATTTACTGTAAAAAATGTAACAAAGTCTTTAACTTCAAAAAGGAAGACAAATTTGGTATGTTGCAGAAAACTCTCACTGTGACAGAGATGTAAGGGGATCCTGAACAGGGAGTGAATGTGTAGCCTCAAATCTTTCACCAACCAGAGTCAGCAGATGGGGTGGCATGGGGCAGCACACCGTGTGTGACCCAAGCTAATGTAGGTGAGCAACAACTTCCAAGTCATAGGAAAGATCGCCTGTCACAGCTGTGACCACCAATGCTAAGATACCCAATTCTTCACCAGCTGTGCTGGGCTGGTGGAGGACTTCTAGGATCAAACAGTTAATGAGGGTTTCTTTCTACCCAAATTTATAGCCAGTGTGCTGGCAGAGGTCTTCTGTGGTCTGAAAAGTCTATAGATGTTCACTGTTGTTTATGGTTTCTAGGAGCTGACAGGAGAAAAGGAAGTTTGTGAACAGGAAGGAGGTGGCCTTGGCTCACTGTGGCTGCTTGCACAGAGGTACACAGCAGAATCCCCTGGCTGTACACTCTGGATCTTCAGATGGGAGAAGGTGCCCTCAGTCCTCTCAGCAGAGAACCTTTCAGGAGGCATCCCTGAGGTGTCTGATGGAAGTTTATCCTGAAAGTACATGAGGAACTTCGGGCCTTGTTCTGGGTTCTTTTGGTACCAATAAAGAACAGTGTGTCCAGAAATTGGATCACACCTGAAAGTTACATTCTGTCCCTTCTTTGTGACCTTGTAACTGGGGGACTGGGAGACTCCAGCTTCGGTGTGATCTATGAAGACAGAGGCTGGGAATAGAATGATAAAAACAGATATAGTTGCCTCTTGCATAAGCCACATGCGTACACACATCTCCATAGGCACACACACACAAATACCATGAAACTGTTTGGTTTTCTCTGCACTCACCTATCCCCAGAAGACAGAGGGCAACCCAGGAAAGAAACCTGGTGCCCATGCTAGGATGAGCTCAGAACAGAGGCTCACCAGAACAGACAGAAAAGGAAACGCATCTTTTGACACCACACAGTGGTTCCCACCATGAAATCACTTCCTCTCAAAATCCCCTCCACCTTAGTAATACATAATTTACACTACAAAATACTAGGGTGACTGATTTAAATATTTATAAGCCAGTTTTTAACAAAAGTAATTCATAGGTCATAATTTCTAAACTTAATGCTGTCTGGATGCATAGTCCACACATTTTGTGTTCTTTCTCAAGGAAGGATTAAAAGATAGGTTATGCATCTGTGTGTGAATGCATTTTAAACACAAAAACTTTGCATATAAAAATAATCTTTTCTTTTCTCCTTTTCCCACTTATACACAGCTCCAGGCAAACTACCAAAATTATATTTGTTGACTTTATCACATTTGAATTCAAGAATGTATCACACTTTGAGGTGGAAATTTCCACACCAAGTGAAAAGGAGCTCTATCCATGTGGATTTTTCCATGCTGGTACAACAGGTGAATGCTTTTCATAATCCACAGCAGACTGATTCACTCACAGAAATTCACTACCTTTTACAGTTCTGAGCACTGGATTAGGCAACTGGAATCTGATATGTGAAAAACATTAGGATGCCAAGTCCTAACCTGAAAAATTTGTTTGTCCATTGGTCCACTGAAGACAATGAAAGAACAGAAGTACTTGACTTATCACTTAAATTCAACTTATTCAGCGAAATACCATGTTTCCACTTTGAAGTTTATGTTACAGTTCAAGTGGGTTTAAAGAACACAGTACAATATTCACAGTGGATTTAAAGATCACAATATTCTTGTATACAGTACATGAGTTAATATTGCTAGGCAAGACCCTAGCACCATGGCAACTCATGAAGGAGAAAACAGTAGAAACAGCTAAAAGTTTGCTTCTGAAGAGGGGGACAACTGGAATCTCAGTGGAGACAGGAAAATCCAGAGTGGAGACATCCCATTTTTGGCATCATTCACCTGCAATCCCAAGTGTAGGCTAGGAGGAACTCCTGAAGACCATAGCAGGGTAAGAAGGTGGGTGACTGGAAGTACCGTTTTGGGAGAAGCTTTCCTGTGTGAGGTCCTTAAATCAGTTACTTAGCCTGGAAACTACCTTTCTAGAACAAAGGTCAAGGAGGTCTTCATTCAGAATTTAGGGTGAACTGGTAAGAGACTGACCACTTAGAAGATCATTATGGTCTTACAAGGAGACAATGACCTGCAGGTCCAGAGGTGTGAACACCCCGAGGGCATCCTTTTCTCTCTCTCTCCCCTGTACTCTGTGACTAGTTTATCTCCTCAAATGATGGCCAATAACAGTGAGGCTTAGTCAATGCCATAAACCAATGGAGGAACCCCCACGTGGGAACAGCATTTCTAGCATCATGTTTTCATGGATTTCTCCTGATCCTTTTTTAAGTCTCACCATGTGGCCAGAGGTGCCCTTACCATCATCCTCCATAGCCCCAGCCTGTGCTTCTGAACCATCAATCCAAAAGCTCTGCCCATCAAAAGCTCAGCTGCTCCCTGACTTCTGGCTTTTCCTCAGCACTTCTTACTTTTGAAATAGGCCTAATTCACATGATAATCCCTCTCTTCCCATAATACAGCTAATGTTTCTGTTCCACTATGGGAGACTTCATAGAGTTATTGATACCAGAAGTGATTTTCAGGAAAGAAAGTTTAGGTTAACATTCTGGAAGCTGAGCTCTGTACTGGCTAGAATTCTTGTGAAGAAAGCAGCTGAAAGAAAGAGTAGACTTTGGGGGAAGCCTGGTTGTGAAACTGTAAAGAAGCCAGAGATGTTAGACATGGACAGGAGATTACCCACTATATTCTAAAACCCACTGTAGCCCACTGAAGAAAAGGATGTGGCTTCTCATATGTAATACCTGATCTCTGCCAGGTAAGTGTGTAATGTAAGGTATTTTAATTGTTGGTTCTTCCATCCATTTTGTCAGTCATTCACTCACTCTTTCTCTGTAAGATGATGTTGTACTTAGGGGTTATGAACAGAATAATTAAAATCAGGATATGGAATTATTAATATTATTTTATGATGGTCAGGCAGAGTTAACACTAGAGAAGGCAGGTAATCTATCCCCAACACTAAAGACATAGAATATGTAGCCAAGGGCCTGAATCCCACAGCAATGTACTACATGATTCCAGGTGAAGACCCAGGGATCATGACTGCCTCCCACAAGTCGAACTGGAGGTCTAGAGCCCACAAGAAGGACTCATGCCAGGCTCTTTAATGGATCCATGTCGGGATAGCTCAGAGGACAGCAGTGGAATCTAGAAAGTCTATGCCAGCAGGGTGAGGCAGCTATGCTGTTCGGATTAGGGATCTATACTAGAGCCAAGAAATTGCAATCAAAACAAAGACCAGGGATGTCCTGAAAAGGACCACAGCCATCCTCAACAACATGGAGGTCAGAGCTCTTCCAATGATAATCACAATGGAGTACATGCCAGGAACCCAGTGTGACGAGTTCATCCTGGAGATTAAGCAGCACACTTGTTCCCCTCTAGGCCAGGGAGCAATGGGAGATGTGAGGACCAGAGCTTCTCCAGGAGAACCAATGGCTCAAACAGCAGCACTTAGGAGAACCCACAATGCCTCAATGCCTCAGCGACTCATTGCCTTTTTACTTCTTCTCCAAGTCTATGCAGACAAATTTCCTCAGGTGAAATATCTATGCTCAGCACCATGGTGATTTAATTCTGCTGGACTTATGTTGACCACTAGTTTTTAATTCATAACAGAATTGCAGTAAAGTGAGTTTTTTGGGGATTAAAGAGACAGTTATAGCCCTTAAAATATGAATGAGTAGAAAAATAACCAGCCACGTTCTGAAAAATTATAACTGTGCCCTATTCTATTCACATAAGGCCTTGTGAAGTTATAGAAGGGAAACTGAGCATGGTAGGAAGGAAAGCAAACTTCCCTAAGGAGCATCGTTTAGACCTAAGGTCCAGGTGTGTCTTTGCCTCTAGGAAATGGAAAGCTATATGCCAGAGGAGCTACCACTGCCCTCTCTGCTACTGAAAAGACTAGGCTTGGATGAGGGACTGGCAGCATGGATGTAGTAGAAAGTCCAGAGAAATGGAAAGAAGAAAGCCCTGGTGGGGATCTGGAGCACAATCACCATCATGAAAAAGGTAACTGTCAGTGGAGACCACATGACAGATGAGGCAGGTGAGTATTCCCCAGAGAGGTGATTGGCTTCCAGAGTAAGGATCCTAGGTATGTTCAAGTCACAAACCATGTCCCATGCTGGAAGGTGTTGCCTCCATAACCTTCTATGACTAGAAAAGTCTGATTCAGACAACCACACTCAAGGAGCAACAGTGGAGACCTCTGTGTCCAGAGTGAGTTTGGGGCTGATTGAGATTTTGTGGATATACACATTGACAGTGAAAACCCAGCATCCTTGGCATACCAGCGTACCAGAGCTACCATCTCTTCTCAGGTCATCAGTTAGTTTTAGGGTGCAAGGACTGCTGGCCTTAACGTGAAGAGCACTGTCAGCTGTGTGGCCCTGTGGAATCACGGCTGGCACAGAAGTACACAGATGTCTGCGAGGGGCTAGCAGACTGCACAGTGGGGGAAGTTCTCTCTACTTGGCCTGGACACACTGTACCCATCAGAGACTTCTCCTTTTTCAGTGATGTTAGTATCATATGAGTAGTAGATCAGTCTCAGCTCCAGCCCTGGATCCTGTCAGTACCAGTACATGCGCTCATGATTCAGCCTCTGGACATGGCTCAGTGTCATGTGCTGGCTTCTTTTAAGGACACAGGACTTGGAGTTCTGGTTGATGCCAGGATTCCCTGGACCTGCAGATAAAGAAGAAAAAACTGATGCCAGAATCCAGTGAAAAAGACTTAGACTAGGACCTGAAATCCCATGCCAAGTGCCTTTCTTGGGCTCACCTGCCTGCAGGAGACAAAAGGCCACACAATAGAGAGAACTGGGGCTCATGGCAGGGGCCCTGCAGAACTGAGGAGTCTTATGGGCTTCTGTGAGGCAAAAGGAGGCTGAGACTTTAAAGGAGGAGTCATTCTGAGTCCCTAGTCTCCCTCCATGAGGCCCATGGCTTTCCTGTCACTGGGTAACATGTTCCTCCCTCCTCAGGAACAAGTGTAAAATAAATGTGTGATCATAATACAGATCTTAGAATGGGACACATTTGTCTGAATTGACACAAGTTATTATTGACTTTTGTGTAAATCAGTTTTTAAGCCCTTGTCTATTATATTTCTATGTGATACACTGCTGCACTAACACAGTGGTTTTAATATTATACGTATTTCTGTAGCATAAAGTAGTAGAGAAAACCATTAGGGATTTTAAGTAATTTTGAACTCACTTGTCCCAAATCCTCCTTTGAGTTATCGAGCATATGGATCAAAAATCATTGCCAAGTTCTTTTAAAATGTGTATTGTGTAGTACATATAATATAGATATCAGTAATGTGAATTTTAAATATCTGGCTATGGACATATGTTATATTCTGCACTTAATTTCAGAGGTTGATTTTAAATATCTGGCTAGGGACATGTATTGTATTCTGTAGTTAATTTCAGTAAAAAAATTCTACATTATTTCAGTAAAAAATACAAATTTTTATTTCTGTGACTTTCAGCTGTTCACCTGCATGATGGCTAGGCAATATAATTCCACATTTGCCTTTATAGGCAGAGGAAAGTCTAAGATTAGCAAAAGGAACAAAAATATGCTCTGTGCTTCATGTTTCTATACATCTCTGAGGATGCCGTGATTATCAGTTTTATGTGTCTACTTAACTGTGCACCAGTGTCCAGATCACTTGGCCAGATATTATTGTGAATATTTCTTTGAAGGTCATTTGGGATGAGATTAACACTTAAATCAGTAGATTATGACACTAGTTTAAGTTAGCATTTTGGTCTTAGAGTGAAACAGGTGCCCTCTATCTGGTGATCTGGCT